GTTACGTAGATTTTAGGAATAGAAACTAGGAGGAGCTTTCTAGAAACTTTTGTAGCCTACAGTATATAAGTGGGATTGTTAGCCCAAATGCTTTGGTACGAGAGGAAGGGCAGGCCCCTCCCCGTACCCCCGGTCGGTTTTGCTTATGCTTTATGCGAACCTCAATTATACTAAAACACTTACTCTCAAATTTTATCCATCCCAAATTATACAACTCTTATACTTTACTTGGATTGTATTCAGTTTCAATAATTTTTGAAATCATCTTTAATACTTTTGATTGTATTCATTTATAATTGTTACTATTAAAAAATTGTTGTTACTTTTAATCTTTGTTGTTTGTTTAATTGGAAAAATAGAAAACCATTCATAACAATTATTATCTACTTCTTTTTCTATGGTATTTCGCAATCGCTCTATGGACTATGTATATGGTTCACTTGGGCTTTGTTTTATGTTTTTATATCCTGGGGTTGACTCAGACATGTTTGTAACTTTATTTAGGGCTCTCATTCCCAGTTCCTTTGCTTGGTTTAATATCACAGAATTTAAGCATGCTTGTGTTTGAGGATCTCCTATGGGACGCAGTCCCAACGACTGGGGAACCCCCACCCCAAAGCACGGATCTTGCTGTGATAATCTCGAGTTTTGCAACTCTTGCTCCTCTGAATATATTCTCCAGGTTGATTCAAATATCATATACTGTAGTGGAGTAGAGAGTAACTTTGCAATTTGCTTTATATCATAGGGTGTTAACTCACTATCAGTTACAAGTTTAAGCATATTTATCACAGCAGGGGATCCCAACCCATGTTTAGTAGCTAATTGGCGTGGCTCTAAAATGATTTGCCAATTGAAACGTACACGTTGATTAGGTGTTGTTCCATTACTAACGGGGAAAGCCTCAACTGTCCCATCTCCCCATAGCTGGCTGCCTGAATTTACTGGCACAGAAATTAATACAGCAGTTTCAATATCCCCACATTCTATTGCCTTTTGTTTTACCTCTGACCAGAAGATTACTGGGTCCTTGGAGGAGACGACATCTGATTTAAATATTAATGGGGCTGGAGCTGCTGTTTGGGGGTTGTCTGTAGAGGTGCAGTTCGTGTTCTTTTCCGGGATGTGTTGGCTGTGTCTTGGTGCAGAGACCTCTTGGAGCTGTTCTGTGCTTGGCTCCTGGTTTGGAGAAACTGTGGGTGCTGTATCTCCAGCAGGATCGGGGCTGATTCTCGGTTCTGGAGTTGTTTTTGGGGCTTCGGTGCAGGTATTTGCCCGATCAGATGCACTCCCAGGTTTTTCTTGTGTCACTCCTGGGGTGACGTCATCGCGGCGTGCTCTGGCTCGGGTGTCAGTGGGGGTTTCCATGGCGACTCGGGGTGGCGCCGCGTCCTCTTGCTGGGGCGGAGACACGCCCTCTGGAGGCAGGGCTGGGGCCAGGGCCCCGCCCACCTGAGGCTGGACCAAAGGTGGAGGTGCTGCCCACCAAGGCGTGGTCGGAACGGGAGGTGTGACCCACCAGGGCGGAGCTTGGGGCAAGAGTACGTCCCACGAGGGAGGCTGTGTTTCCTTTCTCCCTCCCCCGGCCATGTGGCCGCCGCCATTTTGGTATTGTTCCCAGACCACTGTCTTGGCCACATGGCTGCCGCCATTTTGGGATAGTTTTCTGGTGTTTCCCGTGGCAATTTGGGGTGTTTTTAGAGTCTCTGGGCTGGCAACTGTTATAAATGAGAGACAAAAGTCTCGATATGCAGCAAAATTTAGATTGTTTTATTTGATATAGAAAGAGCAAGCAGCCCGCTGGGGAACGTGAGGGGTCACCGCCCACTCCACGCTCCACCCAACCGTGGTTTGCAGCCTCTTCTTATAGCGTGGGTTCTCGTTCACAAATTCACAAAGCCTTTGGGTGATAATCAGTCACAGATTGCCATCCGGTTCTTGTAGATGACCACCAGGGAAGTTCTGGAGGTCTGGTCTTTGTAGATGACCACTAGAGAAGTTCTGGGAGTCTGGTTTTTGGGATAGGCAGTATTGATCAGACAAAGGCAGGAAGGGCTTTTTGGGAAGTCCAATTTTGCAAGTTGTTAGCCAATACAACTTATTTGAAAAACACAACATATTATAATGTAACATAATACAACATAATAGAACATAACAAGGTGATTTTAAACAGAATTATTTAATCTAATAATTTCCTTTATCTAGTGTCCATGCTTCACTTTAGAGATTAGTATTTTGGTTTATACAAACCCTAATGCTTTTGTGATTAACACGAATCTTTTATCAATTGTCACACAACTGAGGAATTATCGGCCAGCCAAGTCTCTCTGCATGGAGTAAGTACTTTTTCTTCCATGCTTTTGCTGGATAAATCCGCTTTTATCTCTTTCATCAGCTTTAAGATAGTTTTCCAAGGCTTCCAATAGTCTATATTTAATGCAGTTTCTTCAGTCGGTTCCACCCCCTTTTCTTTTGTCCAGAGTATTAAATCAAAAAGCAATTCTTTTTCATATTCAATTTCCCACTCTTCCAAAAACTCTGTCCATACCTCTATAACTGGATGCGTGTTTGTAGAAAAGAAGTTCCCCATTGTTTTCTTGTAGCTTTTCGGCTGAAGTTTACCTCTGTCTCTAGGACGCTCTAGCTCTGGTCAACTCCTGTTGCCTCTCTTTTTGGGTTTCTTTCTCGTCTCTCGGACGTATTCCTGACTCTGGCCAGTGTTCCCCCTGCGTCTATGGGCAGAACCTGTCTCTCGGCCAGTGTCCCCTGGCTCAAGGACAGTCTGTCTCCCCCGCTCGCAGCAGTATGGCTATGCCAGATCACGACAGGACTCACCAGATGATGAGTTCAATCGGCATGGGACCCGAGACAGAAGACTCCATACTCTGTGATCTATGTGACAAAAGCCTTTATTCAGTTTTGACCTCACTTTTTATACCCCTTTCAAATGTTCCCAGGGAAGCGTCTGTGATTGGCTCCCAGGTCAGGCTGCCCAGCCCTCTGACCAATAGCTCTCTGCAGCCAGGGCTGGAACTCATTGGATTAAATCCTTGTCTGTCTCTAATCCTGTCCTGTCTCTGTACTTTGGGGGCCTGCTTTTTCAGCCAGGCTACTTCTCCAATCAGTAGTCAGATTAGCTGCCTAGTACAGGCCAGCCTATACTGTGACATGCTTTTACCTAACCCTGGCAAAGGCAAGAAACAGGGTCTTTACACGAGTGATTGTGGGTTTTTTGATTTTTTTTTTCATTTTTTTCCCTCCTCTGTACCCACACTAACTCAGTTTATGTTAATTGGCAGTATAGAAAACATTACAAGATTTCAGGGATGAGTATTCAATGTATTACGGTGTCATTTCGTAATGATTGGTGTGCCCTTGGCAGGTAATTTTTTCATGGATAAATCAGAAATTCAGGAGGTCTGGCAGCAGTGAAGTGCTGGAACAGCTGCACTGCTGAGGGAGGGATGGCCCAGCCCTGAGGAGAGAGAGAACCCAGGGCCTGCGGGGTGTTTCATATCCTTATATCATTAAATAACTGCTTTTCATGACCATATATTGGGGTTTTTTTAACACAAGTCCATTGTTACAGCTCACTGTGAAAGACTAGTTATCTTTAGTGCTTATACAGCAAAAATAACCATACTATCATGTCTTGGGGTGACTGTATAATGCCTATATCCCCAAATCGTCTGTTCTGTTGGTGTTGAATATTAAATTCTGCAACTTTAAGACTGGTTCCAGGAGTGAAAGGGCAAGGGGGGGAAGAAGAAGTGCAGAGTTTGTTATCAGAGACTGCACGGGCTCCCCCGCATTCCTGCTCTCGGACTGTGTTGTCTGCAGTGGACAGCAAGAGAGAGCTCTCCTTTGCTCTTGGTTAGTTTTTTTGGCTAGCTGAGGCAGAGAAGCCCCCTGGATTGTTTATTTTTTTCCTTTTTTTCCTGTTTTCCTGGAACTGTTTGAACCTGCTTTGGACTGAAAACCCAGAAGAGCACCGGGAGCTCACACCTGTGGCCCACCGAGCCTGGCCTGGGCTGCAGCATTTCCCAGCACCGGAGGGACTGAGAGCAGACTGAGTGAGCCGGGCAGCCACGGAAAGAACTCTTCTAAATCTGCCATCTCCTCGGAACAGCGAGAGGTTTTGCTGTTTGATATTGTTCATTGTTGCGCTGGGAGGTGTGTTGCCTGTTGAATAAACAGTTTTTTCTTTTCTTTTCCACTTCTCTCCAATTTTTTTCCCTTTTTCCCGAGGGACCTCATTCAGAGGTTTCCTCCCAAATTTGCCCTAAACCAGGACATATCATTAACTGCCCACCCGGCCGCATCTGAGATTCATGCTGCTGCAGGCATGGCTCTGATTTTATATGGGATTATTCCTTAAATAACCCATGATTTAGTTTAGCATGGAGGATTGACTGATTTTTAAGGACAGATCTTCCCATGAGAACTCTTTTTCTAGGAAAGCAGCATTAGTTTGAGGCAGTTAAAACCTGCTGTGGTGAGACACAGCGATGTGGTATTGATGTGTGTGTGATGGGAAGAGTTTGTTACATTTTTTTGCTACTACAGATTATTTTCTTTAGGGATCTGATGTAAACTTCACAGATTTCCTTTTGTTTGTATAAAACATGATGGCACTGACAGACTCTCTGATAGCAAATATTTCCTAGGGAAATAGTTGCTGAAGCTTTTCCCCCCTCTACCAATGTTTTTAGATCTCTGCTACCTTAGCTTTCCTATTCAGTTTAAGATATTGGTTATTCAACTGAAATGGATTATTTTTGCTTTAATTGAGAAAGTCCTGTTAGAATTTTCTTCAGCTTTAACTTCGGAAAATCCTGCCAAGTTTATACAGAAAAATTAGGAGCATATTAGTATTTACATTGTCAGTCGTCCATTTCCTATCTGTGTCTTCTAGGTATGCCTTTGAAGTGTCGATCACACAGCTTTTTTGAACCTTGCAGAATGTACTTGCCCAGAAAGTTTCATGTGATTTAAATTTTTTCCCTTTGTTTTGGCTCTCTAGCGGCTGCTATAGGAATAAACTATTGGAAAACTTGGGAGAGTGGAAAAATTCTGTTCTTCCATCTACATAAAAAATACCGAGTAGATGTGAAATGTATGGGCAAGGCTTGCATATTACTTGTAATGGTGTATAAACCACTAGCAACAAATAACCAGTTGTACAGAATTTTTGAAGCATATTATTTACCTTACTGAAAAATATGCCTTAATTATGAATTTCTGAGTGCTCCCTTAGGCAGCATGTTCGAGTACATGTTTAATGTATGAGGCATACTCAGGGTTGGCAAATTGCTCCTGTGATTCATCTGCACAGGTGGACCTAGAAAGGCACCAGGCACTCCCTAACTTATCCATTTAAATTGGGTATTGATCACTTTGAATCCTCACTGTTGGGGTTTTTTCAAAGAGGAATATGCGATTTCTATAAAGAAACTGGACTTTCAAAGGGACTACAGAAAATGGAACTTAGTTTTCTAATTTTGGTGATGTGGGAGTATATTTGATGGAATGAGGTTTTCTGACAGAGGAAGCAGTAATTATGGGTGTTTCAGCACCTGAAATCATGCTGGGATCATATGAAGGGAAAATTGAATCACCGTTAATATTTCCTTAACAAAATTTTCTATCATTCCTATACTATACCATTTACGTGCCAAAAATAAGGGAATTCATATTCTTTATCACCTGAAGTCTGAAAGACTATATAGAAAAGAATCAGTACTAATGAATGGCCTTTGTTTGAGGAGAGGAGGTGAAAAATAGAATGAGGGATCAGTCAGCAAAAAGAGTGGCACAGAGTGGAAAAGACTGTGACAAAGGTGAGGAGAAATGCGTGTGTGAAATTCAGCATCAGTGACAGCAGCATGAGATGGGATAGGGATTTCCTATGACTGATGTGGGAAAACAAGACGTGGAACTCAAAACCTACAAACTTTTCTTTCAATCTGATTGAAATTCAGCTGCCTAATCCCTCAGAGTCGCTGTCTTCAAAGACTCCTTTTAATTACGCTTTAAGATGTAAGTAGTAATTGTTGCTGTAATTGTTTTCTAGATGCATGATGGATAAAAACTTCGTAAGAATTGGGAAATGGTTCATACGGCCCTATGACAAGGATGAGAAGCCTGTTAATAAAAGGTAAGGAGATCTCAAGTCCCACTCCTGTCAGTGTTGTGGATTGTGTAATGGTAATTGCATGGTGCATTTTGGTGGTATTTTTCTCACTTTTTTTGCCATATAACAAGTAAAAACACAGACACTGTATTCACATCAGTCATACATAGAAAGCAATTAAGTAAGTTTTCAGGCCTTGTTATGGTAATTTAAGATAAGAAGGCAGGGTTGGTATTTATCCATTAGCTCCACAGAAATGTCTCATTTATTAATATCTTTTGAGCAGCATCTGCCTTTCCCTCTCATTATACAACAGAATTGCAGGCAGTTATAACAAATTATTTTAATTTCTGGACACTAAACCCCAACCTGACATTTTAAGCAGTAAAATAAGTAGTCTATAGATTTCCTGATTTATTTTCTTTAAAGATGCCACCCTCTATACACAGCTTTCCCTGCTCAGGCAGGCTGACAGATCAGACCTATAGGAGTGATTAATGTGCTTCTCCTGCAGCAGCACGGCCATGGAACAGGTGTAGCTGGCTCCACTGCTCGCTATTTCCTCTCTGAGCTCTAAAGGTTACAATGTTCTGAGATCTTCTGGTGCTTGCATTTATAGTCATCCGCTAAACAAGTTCTGTCAAAAATAATCTGAGTTAAGCTGAAACACAGGTT